CCCCCAATCTTTTCGCTCCCTGTTCATGGGTGGTTGGTAATCGACTCTGATTTTCTTTGCTCCTTCTCTCCTATCATCGCAAACATCTGTCGCCCTTATCCGATAAATTATTATCCCTCCTACTTTTCTGTGTACGTTGTTAGTCTCTAGATCTAGTAGTAACACCTCTAATCTTCGACACTTACAGGAAATACTTGTGTTGCAAATGTTGCAAAACTCTTTTATTTGAATTAAACTTGAGCTGTGGTTGGCTGGCGGGTGCTTTGGTGTGGTTCGCTTCTTCTTTCCTTTCGAACATACATCGTATTTTTCCCTCCCCTTCTTCTTTTTTATGTTTGTTACTCTCTTGTAACATCTCTAATTTTCTGGCGCTCACATGACCTTATGCAGTAGCGAGCGCCATAACATCTTTGCTAAAACTAAAACTGAAATACCTGTGTTACAAATGTTGTACAACTCTTTTATTTAAATGAAACTTAAAAGCTGTGGTTGGTTGGCGGGTGCTCTGGTGTGGTTTACTTCTTCTTCCCTTTCCTTTCAAACCTCTGTCGTCATTATCTCTCCTCCTTCTTGACCGTATGCAGTTACGAGCGCTGTATAACCTCTACTAAAACAACTTCTTTTTTGTGCTTGTTACTCTCTTGTAACACCTCTGATCTTTGGCACCTATATGACCTTATTGTGTTGCAATTGCCGTAAAAAACTCACTATTACAAACAAAAATGTAAGCTCTCGAATGTTCTCTGCACCGAAAAACTGAAGAAAAGCTGTTGTCGTTGTTGTTTCAGACCAGACGCCCTCCTTCCCGCCATCATGTCGCAGCAGACGAGAGAGAGGATCTCGACCTTGACCTTGTTGGAGAACACGCTAGATCAGCAGCTGGAGTCATTAGGTGAGTCAGGAGTCAGGAATCAACGCGGAGATTAAGACAATTTTGTTTTGTTTGGTATTTCTTTTCTTGTTTTTTTCTCTTCTTTTTTGAGAGGGTAGGGTTGTTGTTTTTTTGCGGGTTTTTTCTTTTTTTTTGGGAGGGGGGGGGGAGAGGAGGATATCCGTTATTTTTTTATGTTACTGAGTTATTGGTTGTAGACTGACACTTGCGTGTCCATTATTAGTAGTATTATTATTTGTTTAAAAACTTTCCCCTCTGCTTTTCTGTTTTTTCGTTATTTTCCCCCAGTCTTGCACTTTCTCTGCACTGTCAGTATCAGTGCACAACACCGTTTACCCTCGGGGCGGTGCCACTGACTGAAGTTGTGTGTTTAGGCCATTCCCAAAGGGGGGGGGGGGCATTAACATTTTCTTATGCTCAGTACAATTGTAATTGTAAATGGGCTGATTCATCAATGTCATGTGAACTGCAACTGGGAACTGCTGCTTTTTGTTTCCTAATCCTTACTGTCGTCATTTCCCTCTACTTCTTTTGTATGCTTGTCACACTCTTGTGACCCGCTATTTCCAGGGTGCCTTGATAGTCGAAGCAGACTTTGTGCTGTTGAAGTTACAGAGGTGAGCAGAGTAAGCCTGATTCCCCGTAAGGACTTCTCTGTTGACACCCGCCCCTTGGCGCTCATATGACCTTATGCAGTAGCGAGCCATGTAAAACCTCTACTAAAATTAAACTAAACAACACCGATTGCTGTCGCGGCGATGTATTTCTAGTCTTTTTATTCGAATGTCTTTGGCAAAAAGTTCTACTGTTCTAA